TATATATATTATACCCCAGTTAATTTCAAGTTGTTCAGGTTCAAGAACTATTAACCACAAAAATTTGATGACAAATATTTTTGTGGTCGAACTGTAGAAAAGGAAAAAAACGTAACGTTGATCAAATTGACAGGGGATTGGAGTAGAGAAATGTCTAATTTACAATTATCTAGAGAAGAAGAAACAGAGCTCTGGTCTGGAATGTTAGAACCAAAGCAAAAACTGCATTTGGACGGATCCCTAGAAACCGACATATGGCAATAACAGTTACGGTGTCTGTCAACCTGTGTTGAGAAGGATTCAGGGATTCGCGAGGTCAATGCAGCCAGATTGGTAACTTTGTGAGCTGCTGCTAGAAGGCCAAACTCGAACGCAAGTGTTCTAAAGTTAAAATATTTTAGTAAAATATACGCTGGAATAGAAAGCGCGCACATCATACCGAAATCCGCACATGAATTTTCGCATTCATGGTGAAATGTTCATTAATAGTCCGGACTGCGGTAAAGATATACTTTTAAAATGGAGAAAATATTTGACGCTACAGCTTGGCATAAAAGTTAAATCCTATCACTTCAATGATAATAAGGATTACCCGGCTGACGTAACATTAATGAATTGTCAATAGATGGCAATGTCTGTCCACTACATGAATAGTCGGCACACACACACACACACACACACACACACACACACACACACACACACACACACACTACTTATAATATATATATATACTATACTATAATGGGAATATAGATACGTAGTAATACATACAATGCATATAACTAGGTAAGATGTTAAAATCCAAATGAAAGGACTGGTGCGGTTAACACCGTTCGTGGCGGCATCAGTGAATCAATGGTCGATCCTCATAGAACTCGGCTAGCGTGGATCTATCGGAGTGGTCTTTGACCGGGATGTGCGCAAATGCCGATTGGTGTGCTATTTCTTCGTTAAGAACAGCCGTGAGCGAGTGACAGACCGTGGACAGGGGAGGTAACAAAACTTGAAGGGGTAGCGTAAACAAATTACGCATGCAGAGGTAAAATAAATAGATGCAGATGTGAAACAATACTAACAAATGCATATGTAACACAAAACGTCGGGCCACGTGGACGAAGGAACGTAAACGACCGGTTTGTAAAAAATCATGTATGCGGATCACGCACAACCAAAGTGTACAACTGCAAACGTAAACATATGTGATTGAGGCTAAGGAATGCTACATAAACGACGCGCATGCCCCGAAATATGCCTAGTTTCCCCCCAAATTGCCAAAGAACTGAGGTGGCGGAGAGCCCAAAGACAGTAGAGAGCTCAGACGCCCACACGCGTAATGTCCCAGAAGTACGTCGCGTAGCGCTTAGCACAACGCACGTGGCACGTACGGTGAGTTGCGGTGATGCGTACGCTCACACGCGCGGTGAGCATAAACCACTCTTGCGGCCGGTGGAGCACTCGCGACGCACCGCGCCGCGCTGACAAGCGCGAGCTTCCATGACTCACCCATCGCACGGCTCTCTCTCTCTCCTGTGGAGTTGCAGTGAACTGGAAGGCTACCGGAGGATCAGGGCGTGACGCGACAGACGAAGAAGAGGTGCCGACGAAGAGGAGCGAGATCTCGTGTGAAGGCGCTGAAGACAGAGACTGATGTTGGACGCATGCTAGGCAGTGCCTCCCTGAAGGTGTTCGTGAGGCAGGTGCCTCCTAGGCGTGGCTAGCAGTGCCCCTATCCCCCTCCACGCCCACTCGCCCCTACGGCACAGGTGCCATCCCCTTTATCCCATTCTACTTCGTTCTTTCACTTATTGGGTCTCTTTTCTTCGCTTGCTTCTTATGTCTATAGTTCCTCTTCTAATCTGCTTCTCGCCTAGTGCTATTACTCGCCCTCGTCTGAGTGTTGCTAGGTCATATTGCATCTTCTCTTGGCATTTCTATTGTGTTCTTAATTCTCTTCTTATTCTATCTAATTCCCTATGGTATGGTCAATATTGTCTATTTCTTTATAGGCAATCTAGGAACACCATGCCTCCTAGGTGTGGGCTAGGCGCAGTGCCTCCTAAGGCACTCGCGCGTAGCAATGGTCCGGTCCTAGGTGTGCCTAGCAACATCGGCCTCCTAGGTGTCGCCTAGGAAATGCCTCCTAGGTGTGCTAGGCAATTGCCTCCTAGGTGGTGCTAGGCAATGCTATTTCTTTGGCATGCTAGGCCAACTGCCTCCTTAGGCATGCTGAGGGGGCCAATGCCCTGTCAGTAGGTCTCCTCACGAGATGCAATGCCGCCTCCTAGGTGTGCGAGGCAATGCTTCCATAGCGCATGGCTAAGGGGCAATCGCCGCTCGCCTAGTGTGGGGGCTAGCGACAATGCCGCTCGCCTGGAGGGCGATGCTAGGCAATCGCCTCCGCTAGCGTGTGGCTATGCAATGCCTCGCTAGGTGTGCTATCTCAAGTGGCATCCTAGGCATTGCTAGGCAAATGGCATCCCTAGGGCATGCTAGGTAATGCCTCGAGGTGTGGCTAGGCAAGGCCTCCTAGGTGTGCGTCTATCGCCGAATGCTCCTTAGGTTGTGCTTAGGCAATCGCCTTCCTAGTGTGCTAGCAATGCATCCTTTGGCAGTGGCCAGGCAATGCCCTCCTAGTGCTGCTCAGGCAATGTCCTCCACACAACAGCTGCTGAGCGCAGCCGCCTCATAGGCAGTCTAGGCGAATGCCTCACACTAGGTGTGCTAAGGCAATGGCATCCCTTGAGCATGCTATCACAATGCCGAATCCTCAGTGTGCTCCGGCAATGCCTCCTAGGTGGGTGCTACGGCAATGTATCCTCCCTAGGTGTCGCTAGTCAATGCCTCCTAGGCATGCTGAGGGCAATGCTTCCTAGGCCTGCGATAGCAATGCGCTCCTAGGGCGTGCATAGGGCAATGCTCCTAGGGCATGCTAGGCAATGCCCTCCTAGGATTGCTAGGCCAATGCATCCTAGCATGCTAGCCAATGCCTCTCCTAGGCATGCTAGGCCAATGCCTCCTAGGCAAGTGCTAGGCAACTGCAGTCCTAGGCATGCTAGGCAGTGCTTCCAGGCAGCAAGGCAGTCTGCCAGTGAGGCTACTCTCCGGGCCGACTTCACCAGGCCACCCGGACGGGTCCTTGCCCAGGAGAGGCATTAGCCGAACACGCGAAGTCGTATTTGGCCGAGCGTCGTTAGGCGCGTGTGACGGTGGTCCTTGGACCAGTGTCGATACTTATCGGTTGGGTTTGTCAGGTAGGTATGGTGGTTTTGTGCAACGTGCGGGGGGGGGGGGGACACCTGCTCCCAAGGTAGGCATCCTCCATTCGTAGACTGTTGTGTGTGTCTGTGGTATGTGAGAATTGCTGATCTGTTAGGAG